TGTGAGATAAGAAAATACGAGATGTAATAATTACAAAGTAAAACTAAATGACTCTCACTTCATTTAGTTTTCTCAGATAGACTCAAGTATGATAAACGCTTGTTATGCGACAACTGAGTGATGTTACCGCTGTCCGACATGAACATACCATGTGTAATCTATACTAAAAAGAGAATTGTGAAGGCTTGCTTACAGCTAGCACTAGTTTCTTCCTTCACTTAGATGGTATATATTTTTTACACTTAATTTTTTATGTCAATTTTTCTTGAATACTATCAAGTCAATCATTATTTATAATTTCTACTTAGTACATAGAGTGCATTAAAATATTTGTCATTTCTTAATTAATTTTAAATTATTTATAATATATTTAGTACTTTGACAAAGATTAGTTTTAAGGGAAAATTTATTAACGTAGTTTTTTTGTATTTCATACATTTAAAATTCAATTGTAAAACTATGCAAAAACAACATTTTTCGTAGTAAGTGAAACTGTACGAAGCTTTCACAATTTACGTTAATCTTTTTAATATTATAATATTTCAAACTTTCAAACTTAATGTTTCAATAATAATTTTTTTTTTCGTATACGAATATCTTTTAACAGCCAAAAAGATTTAATTCGGATGATAATATAAATCACAAAGAAAGTTAACGAATATCACCTTAAAGTCTTAAAATAAAATTTAAATAAATAATTATATTAAACAACACATACCAACATATATTTAACCATCTGATTGGTTAAGTAAAATATTTACTCAATGGTTTGCAATGTTTAAACCAAACAATATCTTTTGAATGATACTACGTAAGTATGTAGAGAAAAAAAACTGCAAAGTAATTTTATTATATAGTAACCTGTAAATATTTTTGAATTAATGTTAAAATATAAAATAAATTTTAATAAATATGAAATTGTGATCATATTATATTAATAATTACAATTTTCAACTAAAAATTAAATGTAAGTAACGACAATTGCATTTGTTTCTCTATTGTGACGGAGCTTATTTGAATAGTGGGCTTGTAAAGTGTACAGATAATGTCAAACAAAGCTTGTCGTTAGCCTTTTTGTGTGTGTTTGTCTGCTCGGTCACGGCAGACGTGTGGTTTTGCGCAGGTCAAGTATGATTTCAATCACGACCATATTTGCCCTTTTTAAACAGTGCGTAAGTGTCGTGGGATTTTTTCTACAGCTTTATTTTGAAGGCCGTCGTGGCTTATTTATTTAATTGACATTTTATGCTGTATCAATGTCTGATTGCGGATTCGAATTCCGCTCAGAGTAATTATTTTTTGATCATATTTTATAAGGATTTGGTTTATATGAAACACCTTTATTTTTTTTTATTATATATACTCGTAACTATATTTTAAAACTCTACGTATGGTAAATCCTATTACATTTTTGTATTGCACGTGGTTAATTAATTACTGACGTCAAAGAAAACCTTATTGCAATTCACTTCAAAATTCCTATTAAATACGTACTAAATTTAATCTTGTAGAGCAATGACTTACTCGAAATATATCCGGATCCAGAAAAAATCTCTTACGTAAATAAGACTTGTTAATCTTTATAGTCGTAGGTAAATATTATTGTTATAATAAAATACAGTTAACATTAGCTTAATAATATTATTATTTCAAGTGTACCTAAAGGGAATGCCTATAAGTAATAAAAAATATCTAATTTTTAACCCCGTATTTATAATTTACCCATATTATCTTATACAAAAGAACTACTTGTTGCCAAAATATAGCATGTTAATGGAAGAAATCGAAGGATTGATAAAAAAAGATTGTAACAAGCGACGTGTTGCGCTTGCGCATTACCATAGCTTGTTTTTTCGTCCCAGATTCGTGACACATCGTGTGTGTGCCCTGTGGTAAATAATAAATCTTTCTAATAAATAAAACAAGGGAACGTGAGCGAGATAAAAGCATGCGCGTTCGGTGCGCCCTAAACGTCATTGTGACCCGCCGTCGGATCGTTAAACGAATGTGAAAATATTTTGTGCTTTTAGGGTCCAGAGAGGGGGGTAATAAAATTTAAGTTCTTGTAATAACTAAAGCGGCCTCGAGATTCATCTCGAAGTGATTAACTTTTAAGTTAAATAGATACGAGTTCGTAATCTATACATATAATAAAAGTGTGAGTCGAATCTGTACATTAAATATTTTTGGAAAATCTTATTGAAATAGTCATTATTATCGATACAGAAGATGAATCTATAGTTTTTAGAATATTTGTTTGTCTATCTGTGACTGAATCACGAGAAAACTACTGGACAGATTTTGATGGGTGTGTTGATAACAGGTTATCGGTGTCTATATACGTTTAGTTTTTAGTGCGGGAAAATATTCTCATCTCTGAGAAATCTATGCTAACCGTTAAAAATCTACATAGGTACGGTTAAAGACATAATTACATAAAGTTATATGATTGTAGAATAAAGAAATATCTGCCACATTTCTTTATACCTCCTGGTGATAGAATACCTTTTTTGATTCATTTAAAACTACTTGATTTTACTTGTTTTTTTTTTTAAATTGCCAGGTGTAAAAACTCTTAAGTATGCTTGTTCTATGTATAAATGTATAGGTATAAATCTAGACTAGATTATGACTAATACTTTAAACTAGAACCATATCTTATTTCATCCAATTATCATATCTGCGATGTACTAAAATTGCTTTTATTTAGTTTGTAAAATAAGTGTCCATTTTATTTTACCTGCTTTAACGATAACGTACTCAAAGTTTTTTGCACATCTTCACCTCAGTACCTAACAAGCAATATAATTCCGCTACTTTTATCAAGTTATTTGTAATTTGTTTTTATATTATATTTTAAAATAAACAGTATTTCTTTAATTTAGTATTTATATAACAATAATAATGATAATATTAATGGACACTTTAAAAATTCTTAACAGACGAAAAGATGAATTACACACATTTTTTATTTCTCAAACTTTGTATTTGAATAAAATAGCAATGTAGGAGGTCAGTTAAAAGAATTTTTTATTTATATGTTTAATCTTTAAGTAAACTTAACACGTTGAGGACTCCCGGCGACAGCTTGCTGCTACTAACTTATAAAATAAATATGTCGGCTTACTTTTGATCGGAACTTTCAGAAGCTATGCATAAGAATATACGATTTTTGCCTTTAATACATCGTAATATGATCATTTATATATTAAGGTAAAAATAATGAATATTTTCGAAATTTGCAATAAAATTCTACAAACTAATTTTTTTACTTAATCATGTATTTCTCTTTATTCAAGGCTATTTAATATCAAACAATATATTCAGGTCTAACACAGTATTGATGTACGGAACCCTACTTAGTGATGGTTGTATAAGTTTTTTCAGTGTCAGCTCTAATTTGTCAGACGACAGTCACCAATGCAAATATGCGGCTCGTGAATGGGTTGTGTAAAGATATGAAATTTCCAGTCTGGAGTCATGGGAACGTATTATGAGAAGTCCTTTTTAGTTTTATGGTTAAGTTAGATTTTAACATATAGTCAATTTAAGTATGAGCTATATTTTACCGCGATGATGGTCTAAAATGTATGTTTTCTATACAATATTGTTGTATCATATAAAGGCGTGTTTTTATTTACTCATGATTTTGCTAAAAACATAAAATATATTATATAGTTCCATATTTAAAGTTAACGCTTTCATCAAAAATGATATTAATATAAATACAGGGAAGGTATTAATAAAGATAAATGAAATCAAAAAAAATAAATGTAATAATAATTTAATATCACAAACATAGCAATTATGTTTGCACAGTTAGATATAAATACTATTTGAACTATACAAATAATGATTAAATTATAAATACACTGGCTCTGTACTTTACAATAATATAATTAACAGCTCTATTAAAGCTAGTTATACTTCATTGGATCTCTGTAACAGTAATATAAATAGTTAACAAAGAAATGAAACTAGGATAAAATGTACAATTATAGTTAAAGCAGCCTCGACCGCTAAGTCAAAGTTGTCAAAAATGAACCAGCCATCGACACATTAACTAAATAATTTACAGGGGCGGATCCAATCATTTAAATAAGGGAGGGGTCATAAACCTGTTGAATTGGTGGGAGGGGTTAGTAGTACCCTGTTTAGGGGGAAGCCGCTATGTAGGAACAAGCGAGCAAAATAATTAAATGGGTAAATGTCATATAATGACATACTTTATTATTAAAACATAGAAATTAGAGAAAATTAATTATAAATAGAAATATTAATTTATATAACATTTCCTTGATTTATACTAAATTAAACAGGTTTAAGCACGATCCCTTTCAATCAAATCCGCCGTTTTTATAATTTACTAACATAGAAGAAGAATAGTTTTAACTAAAAATATCATTGACCGAACTTGGTGGAATGAATTATTATTAATACTAATCGTCTAATAATACCATAAAAATTGATACTAATTTGATGATTAATCGAAAAATAAATAAATTAACACCTTGACTAGGATTATCAGAAAATTTCGAATGTTAAGCTGCCTGTTAAATAAATATTAAATTCGTTGTTATTTACAAAAATATATGTATAAGGAACTTATTCATTCTAGACCGAAATGGCAATGTAATGGCAAATACATTCTCTAGTATAAACACAAACAGCCAAAAGTGCAGTTGAATTACGAGATTCGTATTAGGCCGAAAATAAGGGCAGAGACACACTCGACAAGACCTTGCTATGACACTAAATGCTTACAAAACATCACAACAAATAACTTTTACAAACAAAATTAAATACTGAGTTCACTAAAACAAGATAATTCGTAAACATACATTTTAGGTCTTGTAAAAGTGACGCCGTTACGTTAACGTAATCATAACGTTTATGTCATAAATAAAAGCACCCATAATTATTAAGTAAAAAGCCCAAATAATCGGCTAACATAACCGCGATAAAATTAAATTAGGTAACACAACCGTATTGTAGATTTAATTGTTTGGATTCATTTCGTACATTTTTTGGAAAAATTGGGCGAGATATTCCAAATAATTGAGTGTGTCTCTGTATACCAATAGAGCGAATGAGAGTTTGTCAACGTTCTTGATGTCGGGAATATCTGAAATCGGTAGCGGCTTGATCTCCAGATTGCGCGACCTCATTACTGTCTGTTGAAAAAAAAAACAGTTTAGAATATTATAATGCAAAATATTTTTTGTCTTAATTTTTTTAAGGAATATGAGATACTATTTTTGACAAATATAATATATCATAAAAAAATTGTAGCAAGTGTACTAAAATTTTCCTAGCTATTTTAAAGAAATGACAAATTTATTATAAATAAATTATACTTACATTGAACACACAGAGGACAGCTCGAACATTATGCATAGTTGTGGTAATGTTAAATTTTATGATAGCATCCGAATTGATGTCATCATTTAATGCCTCCTGAGATACAACGTACAACCCCGCGACTACCACTTGCAGTCCCTTGTACATTGGTGGTAATAACTCATCAGTTTTTTTCTGTCAACAATAAAAGATATGTTAAAATCATATATACATAACATGAAAAATATAAACTCTGGTTTTAAATAGTAAAATCCTTAGTCCTAATGTCATTTTTATTGAATCTCAGGGTCTTTGCACATTATAATAGAGATACTTAAAGGATTAATACGTTTCAAAGAACTGTTTAAATTAACGAATATTGTGAACATATTTTTGCTCAAATAAGTCTATATATATTATAATAAAATGCTAACTAAGCCGAATCTGTACATAAAATATTTTTTGGAAAATCTTATTGAAATAGACATTGTTATCGATACAGAGGCCGAATCTATAGTTTTTACAATTTTTGTCTTTTGTCTGTCTGTCCGTCTATCTGTGACCGCTTCATAAGAAAACCACTGAACAGATTTTGATGAAATTTACTGATATGATAGCTGGTTATCCGGATCAATATATACTTTTTACTAGTGACGAAGTGAGTCGCTAGTCTGTCATATATTCAATATTTTTAATATTATATTTGGATATTTGCTTTCATCGCCTTTGGGGTGCAGAGTTCAACTTAGTTTGATAGCAAAAATTATCTATATTTTAAAAGTATTATACCATTTACGACTCATACAAAAATAAGATTTTTCTTATCAAAGACATTTCTAGTGAGTTTTATCAAACAATTTTTTATATCAGTCCAAATTTGATGATTACACGTGAGATTAAACCGTCCAAATTGCAAAACCATTGTGTTCTCACGTAAACGACAGTCGGCTGACAACAATGAGTGCCACCGACGATGTCAATTCTTTGAAATCGATTGAAAAACTTATACGGATGCACGTTTTTGGCATCAGCGAATTCGCCGCCCTTCGATTATAAAACAATCAGATCGACTCTGTTAAGTAACCGTCATTATCTTAACGAGACAAGCGCTTCAGATAACAACATTGCTTTCCTTATAAACCTTTAAAATGGGCAGTCAAAAAGTATTTTATAGTGACTTAGTTTGGTAGTCTGAAGCGAAAAATTAGCTCCTTTAATTAAGATCATGATACCTATTACCCATATGTAAATAAACTCTGTAATTACTCCGAATAAAGCTTACCATCAGTTTTTCCATATATTCATCGGGCATTTCCTGATGAAGGACCTTCTCTTTGGGTAGGCCGTCTTTGGGGAACCATGTGAAGTTCCGTAGCCAGTCGTTACCACTCCAAATTTTCAATAACTCCTCGAACGTATCGAAACTATGAAGCATAGATGCCTGTAACAAAAAAGAGAAATTTAAATGAGATTTTTTTTAAATAAATTAAAAAAATAAATTTTTGAAAATATAATTTTTATTAAACTCGAGTAGGCACCTACGTAAACTGTACCCAATTTTTTTATGTAGACAACCGCCGTTTTTTTATGTATACATAGACAAGCGGCGTAGGTACTCTTAAAAATTGAAAAAAGTAATATAAACAAATATTACTTTTATTGACGCTAATTAAGTACAGTTATTTTCAAGTGATTTTAAGTAAGCATTGAACTAATTACAAAGACTGTTAAGGTATGATGAGAAGCAAAAACTATTATCAATTATATAGGTACTGAATTCGATCACTGCTGGTTCGTTTTAGTGCAGTGCCGATATCATTTAAATTAAACTGCAGTGGGTTTCCTTTTAAAGTAACACTATTTTTACGAATGTTCATTAAAATTTTTCAAAATCAATTTATCCACAGATTCTCAAAACCATAGTCTCTGCAGTATGTATGAATCAGCTTTGTCACGCTACGGGTCCCGTTGATTTCTTTGAACGATAAAAATAGACCAACTAGTTAGTACGTAGTGATGATTGACTTTCATGGAATAAGACGATTGACCGGAAGATGAGATGTGTCGTTGTTTCCTCTATTGACTCTGTTATAAATAAGACCGAAGACTAGACTCTCGCAGTGACCATCAAGATAGCAACGAAAGTACTGGTTGTTGATACATCCTTTTTAAATTTAAGGTATGTTTTATTTTTCTTTAGAATACTTTCAAGTGTTGATCACTGCTTGCACTTTGTTTGTATAACATACGATCAACTAGCAAATTTTATGGGTCAGCCAAGGTCGTGTGAAAGATGAGATTCAAACTCGAGTTTCGACTGCCTGTACTATCGACATGTCACGTAACAAAACCGTTTCGACATTAAAATTTGACATTACGTCCAGAGCATACGTGACTAATAATAATTAGTAAAATTCAAAGCTTAATGTTATTAACATAGAGTTGAAACTTTAAAATCATATTTATCAATCGACAGATGCAACATATTTGATAGAAATTGGCCGTCCCTCGGGTACAGGCTGATTTGTTTGAAATATTGTTGCTCAACACAATACTGCTAATTAAACGTTTACAAATCCTGATAAATTTCCAGTAAAATTTTTGTTGTAAAATTTTCTTATCTATGTTTCGATGTAATAAATTTAATTTAAAAATTAATTGTGTTGAAATTTATGTTTAAACATTCATGTATATGACTGTCGTTATTGAAATGCTTACAAATCGTGGAAAAAATACGAGCTTTAACAAATTATTATAATATTAATTATGACAAACATTTTTTTGCTTTTAGAATATAAAGATTGAATTCCTTGACCGAGAGTGTGAATAGGTACCTACTTGCTTGTAATAACAAAACGCAGGTGTTCGTCCGGTCTGTCATGTCTCTATCCGAAACTTCATTTAACAAACGTATAAATTCATAATATATTCCTATTAACCAATCATTTATTTAGTTAATTAATAAAAATCGAAGTTTATGGTATAAATAAAATTTATTTTAACTACTACGTAGTTGTTAGGTAGATTGAATTATTTTCAATAAGTTTTTATCACATAATGTATGATTGTATAGAGTATAATATACGTTATACCTAAAATCATAACGAGCTTCATGAAATTTTGAGCTTCAGCACTTCAGTGCAATATTTGATAATTACAAAGTTGCAGCTACAACGCTACGTATACACTGAGAAGTATAAATGTGGGTGGGCATTAAGCAAGAAATTCGATGATATAGCATCCGGACACCTAGATCGAAACATCGGAAGCTTATCAAATAAACATGCACCCATACATACGCAGCACATGATATATTTACAGCACACGTGCTCACACGCATCAACCGCCGCAGACAGCCTGTCGCCCGTGTGAACAGCGCTATCGCACTAAGTATGTACATATTGCATATAATGTCATGTATAATTCAATGTTTATATAATATCGACGATATTACGACACGATAAGCCTCGCAGATGGACATGCCTGTGACTGAGATCGAGCTATCAAGTTACATATTGTATTTTTAAAAGAGAAGAATGTGGCCACTTCTTGATGGATATCTTAATAATTTCAGAGTCAAAATATGATGCGATAATTTGACACCGGCACGGTCCAAAAGCACGAGTGTTATAGCACATTCACACGGTGGCCGGTGCGGAGTCACACAGTACCGGTAGGGTTCGTTGAATTTGTTATTGCGTTCTCGGTACAGCGCGACCAGTTATTTATAAGGAATGGGTTGACGACAGATATGATAGCACGAGTAATTTGGATACGGCGTTTTATATGTCGCACGGTTTCTTTTCTGCTACGAGTTAAATGTTTATGCTTTCTTTGTCTCATTTAATTCTAAATTTGGGGCTATTTTTCAAATGTAATATCAATATGAGTATCTGTCTTAGCCGAGTCTGAAGTCTAAGCAAGTAATTTTGAATCTAAACAAAGAGCATTTAAACGTCCTTGGTTCATATACAATGGCAGTTCAACGTGCGCAAGCTTTGTCTAAACCGCAATAAATATGATACATTAGTAACGAATGACCGACATTAAGGGGAGAGACAGAAAAAAATCATCGGGCAGGTGTGTCGCGCAATATTAATGCGCAATCAGTATTCGATACATACGCGCACCGTCCTGTACTTCGTTCCGGCTACTGTGCGTCGATAATGTCATTTTACGACGGGGAGGCAGTAGCGAGCGGACAGGACGTCGCCGTCGTTACGACCGGCGAGCCTATTACAAATGCCTCCATACCTCATACACCAACACGACACGTCACTGTTGGATGGATTTATTCGTAACTGATCTATTGTTCCATTTCCATTGAACGTTTCACACCCGAACCTTTCATATTATTATCAATTGAAATCGAAATGTATTCACTCACCGTTTCGTTCGATGTCATAATTAATTACAATAGTAGAAGGTCATCCATAAATGATTCGAGGCGCGACATCGACATCACATTATTGCTCGTTGATCGGGCCACCTTACTTCCGATTCGGAAATATTATAATCTTAGGAGTGGAATGACAGATTGTGTTATAATATTTCTAGAAACTCGGGTTTGTTTTGTCTCTGAATTTTAAGTAGTAACTACATTTGTGCCTCACGAGTGCTAGACAGAATAACTTTTATTGTTATTGTGTCTATTTTTTAATCCATACCTATTTATTACCTATTCATTTTAACATTAACGCATATTGTTTTATCCAATTCTAGTATAAAAAAAAATTACATATTTATAACATATTGATGGATATTCAAAATATGAAAGCAGTACGAAATTATAATTAAAAGGGAGGAAGCGACCATGGCCGGACGTACAGAGGCGAAACCGGCGGCGCCCGCACCGATGCAATCTCTTCCACGCCATCCGACGCGGTGAGAAAATGGCGTTAAAAACGTGCACGCGAAGAATCGTTAATGGATGAAATTTTGCAAGAAACTTTTCGGAATAAACATGTACTGTTCCTTTATTGGTGTGATGATGTTTGAGAGTTGTTGTCAATTCATGGTAACTCAGCTACTACGGAGTACAGACACTTTCATTCATAAAATGATAAAATCACATTAAGCCCTAAAGGTATGCACCGATGTCCTTAGTTTAGAGTTTTATTGGTATTGGCCGGTCGCAACGCGCGTCCGTTCATTTAGAGCGACGCGGCGGGCATAACGATGCGAACGCGAATACTACGTTGCGATTGTCTCGTTTCTGCTCCTGGATTGGGCTCATCAATGAAAGCGAACAGCAATAATTTTATATATTATGTGACACTTACGAATTTATCTTTGTACTTTGCCGTTGACTCGAATACGTTTCTCGCTTGTGATGCAACATCCTTTGCAAGTTTTGCTGAATATTGTGCTGGTTCGCTTGGTTTTGACTGGAAAAAATAATACTTAATTATAATACAAGTATAAGATTGAATCATTATTAAATTTGATAGCCTTATATTATACAATAGCCAAATGTCTGATAATTATAAATGTTTCATTTTAAAGTATTTTTTCTTAAATAATTGTTTTTTTCAAGAATTTCTAAATAGCTAGAGTTCTTTAGATGTAACTATGTAGATTGCAATAGATATATTAGAAATAATAGTAAAAATAATTTTGATATATTTTAAGGATTTGATATGCATTTGACATCAAATATGTGTCATACTGAAACTTACATTTGAATCATAATCACATGGGTTATCCCAGATCTCGTATTTCTGGGCTTCTCGGCGTTGTCTGTCCATGGTGCGTTTATGTGGCGCGGCGGTAGACTGAGGTGACAGACCGCCAACAAGCAGCACCAAGCAAACAGCTGCGCAGACGTTGACGTATCCTGTAAGTAATAAAACAATAAGAACAATGCCTTTCTACATTTCTATAACACTAACGACTTGCTCTCGCTTCATTCGGGGGTGTCCTTTGGTACCTAATAGTAGCCTGAATGTTACTCTAGGTCACAGTCTAATTTTGTACTTCCAAATCCGTCCAGACACTTCAACGTGAAGAAGTAACAAATACATATACCAACAAATTTTGCCTTTATAATAGAAGTGCGATATTGAACCTTGTAATAATATTAAATATCATTGTAATGACTTAGATAATTAATATAAATATTTGAATGTCTGGAAGATATCGATGACTTCGCATATTTTACATTAAACGAGTTCATTATATTTTTAAAAGATTATACTTTATAGAATTCTCGTTTAAAAAAAATAAACTGAGTGTTACCGCAAAACAAAACGAAAAGACTAGTGTAACTAATTTCCAATGGATTTGTCGAGTTTGTATTGTTGATGCCAACCATATTAAGTGATGAATAAATATTGAAAATAATTATTTTCTGATGCATCTATCTCATCAATGAAAATGCTAGAGCCCGTTGTTCCGTATGCGGCACGCACGATGCTGTCGATTATGGTAATCGATGAACATCCGATGAATAAATACATCGCGGCCCAGAGGTGGACAGCCTTTGCTAATTGTCCGGTGAACTTGTGTGAATCACTAATGCGGCACAATTTAACGGTGGCTGCCAACTGACCGGAAATTCCTTCCGATATCGATAAATTTTTCTAAATCAAGATCATCAATCTCAATCGATCCAATTTTAATGACAAAGTTATATATATTTTTATTCAATTATTTTACTATCGTTTTTATAACCTATAAATAAAAAGAAAATCAATTGATTAAAGAGTTTACATTTCGTTGTTACTCATTGAAGACTTCTTATTTACTCTTACTGTTTTGACTCAATGTCTGAATCACGAATGTTATGTCTCGAATGACTAATGTTACAAATCTTTATACTATTTTATACTATCGTTAGTAAAATGTTACGATCTTTTCGCGCTAACATATTTATCTGTGTTAATATTTAGCAAAACCTATTTAATTCAAAATTTTGGATTTTATAATCTTTTTAGGTGTCTTTCGTAATAAAAGTTTAAAATATTTTTTGCTATAACTACATAATACATGTTCAGTCATGCAAAACTTGGTTGGTGTCCGTGTAAAATTGTGTGCGTGTTTTTTTACTCTTGCATCTCGTTAGCCAGTTTTGTGGCGATTTGTTATTTAGCCTACGGCCAACGCGGCATCAAATAAAAGAAAATTATAGTTATATGGTGCTTTGCCGCTTATTATTTAACTAAGCCCTGTGAACTAGACCGATTATCACGCCTCTCGTACACAACTGAGGGAGACAGAACGAATGGCCATCACATTTATAAAGTGAAGCTATTCGCCTGAACAAATTTCGATTGAGGCAATATATACATCACCGCTTAACTAGCTCTGATATAGTTGTAGATATTGAATTGGTATCTAATTGACACTATAACAAGGTTGTTACGGTCGGAACACAAAAGGCGACCGCAAAGGCGGAGTCGGATAATAACGATCATGTCAAAAGGAAGGTCCGACACAGAACACGCGTTAAACACACGATCATAACATTTTATTAGTGCGCCGGTCAAAAGCAAGCAACCGCAAGACCGCCGCCGCCGTCAAAAGTTCAACCAAAAAAAAAACAACAGGTCAGCTCGTAAAAAGATGTAGAGTCACCGTGTGATACGGATATATGTATGTCCTTTAAAAATTTATTTGGTAAATCGTTACAATTTTGTATAGTAATTTCTATTCTCTCAACTTTAAAGCTTATTCAGAAACTTTACGACATTAATTAGTTAATGTCTGTATAGAATGAAATTTGAGACTGTATATAGATTTAAAAATGGTTTCGTATTATTAATAAATTACGAACTTTCAATAGTGGCTCATTTAGGGATCTGTAATTAAGAACTATAAAAAAACTATAAATGGACAAAGAGGAGACTCGATCGAATTCCTTAGCCCATTGAAGAGCTGACCGAGCGACCATAAAAACCGTAGATACCTACACGTAGGTAATACACAGGTTATAAGGGGGCATAAAAAAGTAGGGACCGCGTCGGAGGTCGGACCGACTACCCGAGAAACAAAGAATTCGTTTATTTTTTAACAGCTCGCTCGTACACAAAAGGAGGCTGCGCGGCACGAAAAACGACCCAAACGAGAGCACCTTGTTAACCTTTTTAAAAAGAAATCGCGCGCCCGCTAACTAGAATTTCGGTTCGAAAACCGAGAAAAGTTTGCACCGTTCAGTTTGGACGCGGTCGGCGCCACCGCAATCATTATGTAAATTCTGAACATAAACGCGTCAAAATTTCGCAGCGAGCACCATCTTCGCGGCTTGTTACGAAATGATACTCGTCAAATTATCGATGATTTTTGTATCTTTTGCGCAGTTCACCTTGTTATCTTTCACGATCTCATTCAGAACTTTACTTTACCCATAAATCATATTACACGTCTATTTTTTTATCACAGTATAGCAAGGGTTTAGGAAGTCTAGCCATTTAATGCATTTAATTATCTCAGTCGGTAAAATTTAGAGTCTGACAATTGGTGAGATCGTAAAATTTGAGTGCGCATAATAAGTGCGATTATAACTCGGTGAGCGTGTGGCGGCGCTTACGTTACGGTACACGGTGATACATACATACTTCATTAACTGAAAATCACTCTAAATGGTAATGTGCGGAACATCGGCGATCGACCCCGCGAAATTAACGAAACAAGCGCAAATTTTCTTCGAATTAAATATAATGACATAACCACTGATATTACATAATTTTACTGATAACTTTTTAAACGGAAGATACATAAATTGTGTATTGCTCCGAGGGATGTGTTTTTAATATTTCGTAAGAAAGAAAAAGTTAGACGCATAACTTGAAAGGAATTTTATGGCTAACAGAAACTGTCAAAGTATTTACAGTTAAAATAATATAAAAATATCAAAAAAATTTGGTAATTACTATATTATTTATAATATAGTTATTATTTTAAATAAAAAAATCTAAGAAAGTATTATAACTATATTATTAAGAATAGTTCATATATGATTTATAAAATTTTGTATTCGATTGTTAGGTATGATTACACATACTATTAATAGCTAAATCGGAATTATAATATATGTACACTTAATCTTTTCCTATATTGTGTAAGTGTTGTATTAAAGATAGTAAATATTCATAAATATGCAAGCGGCTCTTCTACTTTTTATTGCGTACGTAAATAGTTGCACGTATGCATAAGTTGGACTAAAAACTTGCGATATTCCGCAATCGCGGGACAAAACCTACGTAAGGTTTAATTTTTTCTTTAATAGCGGATGCGGAATGGGTTTTTTAAAAGAAACGATCGCGCCACCTTATTTAACCAACAAGTAAATTGCAAAATCACTAAATTCTACAGCGAGTTTTGTTGCGAAATCCATCAGTTGAACTTCCGGGAAAATATTAGAGCAATGTTTATACCCAGTTTTTTCCTATATCTAAGTATTTGCGTATTGTGCGCGATTTGATTGTTTTTTAATTGTTTGAATAACATTGTGGTCAAACAATTATTATATTACAATATATATATATATATATATTTACAAATTGCCCTTAATCTTGTATTATATGTACGTGTAACCTACTGTCCACGCTCATTACCACCTTTTGTTGATAATTGTATACAATAGAAATTAATGTTTTTTTTTTGCAAAAAAATATTATTATATAACAAAACTATAATTTTTATGATAATTAGTCTGATTATCTGTTTATTGATTATAAATCACTAATTTACATTAGGGAAGCAGGCTAACTTATTACACATTACATTGCCTAATATCAATAAAGTTAATACTAAAATTAGTATCTTTGTTTGTAAATACTTTGAAATATATAGGTATAGAACTGTAATTAAACTATGATGTATTAAAACAAACTTAAACAAATTGCGAATTGATTTCATATAAAACATGAATTGAGCATGAAAGATTTTGAAATTGGCATAATTTGCTAAATTACATACTTATTTGGCTTAGATAATGAAATTGAATTTATCGATTTATTTAAATACCGCTTCATGACGTTTTTCCATGGGTTTATTTTAGTGTTTATAGATAGACATGATCTTACGAGCACGCGTATTTTTATAGCTCAGCACAAATCATTTCATGGCCCTATATAGAGCGGCGAGAGCGATAGTATTAATTACGAAACTGTCCCCTCCGAAGCGTGGACATAACTGTACGACTCTAAAGGATAGAAACATTTAGACAGATATGTCAATCCGGTAACAGTACACTTTTTTAATTACAGTATACGTATAGTAAGAACATAAGTTCTGATGTTCATGTTTAACATTGTAGAGGTGACACTGATCCTTGTTTTTGCTTATGATAGAAGTTTTAAAGTGAGATGGCGACGTTAAGACCTCTCATAGAAATAGGTGCGTCGGGTTCGCGGTACCGGATATTTGTTTTATAAATAAGTGCTGCTATATAGCCATCTGTAGAGTTACTTTAATGAAGATAAGAATTTATTATGACATAATTTGTGTCTATGAAATAAATTTAAAAATAAAATAAAATTGATAAGTAATTAGGTTTTCTTATACCTATTATATAATATTAATATGTTATCTATGGGAGTATAAATTCATTTCCTGAAGTCCCGAAATGTTAATTTTAATAAAATTAATTTATTTTTATTGTGGCTATTTTAATTAAGAGAAATAATATAAGCAAAAAAATATAAGCTTACTGCTTCTCGCCGAACTCGCTCTGTAAGGTTGACATCTGTCCACTATATCACTATCACAGTCACTGTATTGGCTATTTGATCTAGTCCTAGAACATCCTTCACAGCCTGTTGGCCTGTGCACGGGCTGGGGGTGTTTTGCCCCTGGACATGTCACAGGTTTGCGGCAGTTGTCCGGCACTTCCATCCTGACCCTGACTATCACAGTACCGGTCTGTCTGAACATCGCGAAATATGGGATCTTAAAGTAATCCATAACCGTCGATCGCAGTTGGCATCCCCAAAACTGATGTCGCACGCGTCGTGTCGGGTGAGCGACTAAATGAATTGGTGTGACGGCGCGTAAGATAAAGCCTAGTGTACACCGAGCACGTGGTGGCGGCAGTGGGGCGCGACTTAACGAATAGCCGCAGCGCCAATGGTAGGCGGTAGCCGTAGAGGGCGGGTCCCGATCCCACCCAGCAAGCACCTGTGCACGGGGTCCGGCTGTTCCACGGCCACGAGGGTTGGGATTTTCGCAAAGTGAATTTTTTTACGCGGATCTCCTTGACACGCGTAGGAAATATCCATTCGTGCTTCCGGATGTAGTGAAATTAGTTTGAAATCTACGCATAGTCTATACTACGAAAACTTAGCTTTACTTACGTAGTTATTTGAATAATCAGATTTACGTTTATTTTATTAATAATTAATATTGAATTTCTGAAATATATAAGTATATTTTTAGTTTAATAAGTTTTTAATATTCGGAAAGATGAAAGATATTAAAAAAAATGAAGTTAGTTTCCATACAAAATCTTCCAGTTATTATATTTCAGCATTATTCTTGACTCATAGCAAAGTTAGTCATTAACATTTCAGTTGACTCAGGCGGATACACTATATAATGGAATCTTTATTTACTTTCTCTCAACATTCTGGCCCACGTTGAGATGAAATGATAATTTACTAAACATAAATTGTGTAATACTAAAATTTTTAACGATATCCTAAGACGACTTCAATGGATAAACTAATACCATTATAATTAGATTATTATTTATATAAGTATACAAACATACATTTATACTAAAAAAAATCTGTATAGGTAGGTCTGTACCTAGTATATCTACTATCAAAAGAAATCAAAACTTTCTTTCATGACTATATTATGATTTTTATTTATTTATGACACAAAAAAGTTAAAGCTTACGGTTACGAGCTAACGTAATATTTCCATCAATGAAATGTTCCATTAAAATTATGGCCATCATCTACCTATTATTATTAATCACGATCTAGTACTAGAGTATTTCTATGACGTAAATACAATGTAAAAAAATAGATTTTCAATGAGTAGCTTAAAACTTTCTGTTAGACGGGAATTCTTTCGATATAGTTAATTGTATGTCATTAGCTATTAATAACAGAATCAATAATATTATTAATTTATGCGTAGTGTATAAATTATGAATGAACGGGTAGAGCCGTTCAGCTTTGTTTACATTACGTTTTACGCTATAACAAGTTCCGGATAATTTAAAACATTTAAGGCCTTAAAGTACTTGGAAATTCTTGATAAAAAATCCTTGCGGATAGAACGGGAGATATGAATAACCATAAGGATTTCATACGTAGATACAAGGTTCTTGTAAGATATGTAGAAAATAAGTATTTTTAACTTTATGACGTACTGGGAATTTCGAAGTCAGTCCATTCACTAATAAGAGCCAAACTGCAATTATTTGTTTTTCAAACTAAAAACTATATGGGTGAGAGCCTTACGTGAAATCGTCATAACATGTCAATCCGATATATTTATATTTTGTACTAATTAAAATAACATAAACTATATCATTGTAATACTGTGCTATTACGTGTAATAAATATATTGTATCACTCATTCACACAATAAATGTTAGATAATTAATTAATGTATCGCATAACAATAAAAATCAACATATAATAATAAAATAATAAAAACTATTTATTGTACACTCAAGAAAGAATGAATAAATACAGTAAAGTGATAATATACAAGAGGCGGCCTTGTAGCTAAAATCGATATACCTATACATGAGATATAAAAATAAAGGATATACAGGTTAATTAAAAGCTTCAGTGAATGGAGAACTTTTACCCTACCACTGGACATTGCGTATTGAGTGGCATTAAATAATACGACACTCTGTCAGTGCTATACTGAAATTGGGATCAACAGTTGTATCTAAATAGTTCTAACTGGTTTTTCGGATTATTTCGCGACTTTATTTTGATTAATAATAACATAATATAGTAACATCTGAGATTTAAAAAACCTTAAGCCTCTTTCGTGAAAAAATCTGAAAACAATTTTATTTAAAAGTTCAAATATTGGCGTAAATCTAAGAAAGTACTATGTTCATCTACAAAATAAACATCGGTATTTTCAAAGTAAGTTCATTATATTGAACAGCTGAAATATTGAACCGCTGAAATATTGAACAAATAAAACATTAATTAAAACCCAAGTTATCACTCGATTCCATAATTGCTGACACATTTTTTCTTATTTTACGAGATGCTTTTTGGTAATGTAGCCGGATGGCCCATTACGTCATATTGTAGTTCTATGAACGACCGTCATAGAACACCTGTGTCGTATCAGCGGGGAGTTTCCTGTTGATAATGCGATAAACCTACGTAGGTACACTAGGTGACCTAAGTGTGAAACTTCAGACTGCTGGGCGTCTATATAATTACAAGTCATCAAATTCTTTTTGATACTGTGCAACTATTTGTTGAGATTGCAAATTCAATATTTATTTTAGGGATTACACAAAGACAGTGGAGAAACTAAAATTCATTCGATAAGAGGCATTACAACAAGCCATGTTCAGTACTAGGTAGGTACTACTACTCGTTTCTAGCAGAACCTTAAAAAGCTTTGTAAATGACCTGCCTTTGAAAGACTGCAACGTCAATAAAACCTTGACAATATTTAAAAAAAAATCAATGCCATATTGTCGATCAAACTTTTTGTGTAAGAAGAAACAAATTTTATAAACAAATAAATATCCACATTTTCCTTACTGGATTAGAATTACTTAGTTGTGTAATATCTTATCAGTATACTTAAGCGAGAATAAGCCAACGGGCTTGGGAATATAGGAATAGTACATCATAAAAGTCACAACAGTCGTCATCATTTTCCTTATCCAGAAGTTTTTAAACATCCTCAGAAAACATTGGCACTTCCATAAAAGGTAATTCCAATATGAGATTATTCTGACACACTACCGTTGTCTAAAATTACGAATGATTTATTTTTAGAGGCACTTTCATGAAAAATATCCTTAATAAATGAAATATTGTCTCATTTATAGTACTCGAATACTTAGAAATGTGAGTCCGTTTGACGTAAATATTGAGCGTATTGGTTAGTCCAGTATTGAAACTTAAGATTAATTTTATAGTTCAGTTGATTATGTATGAGTATATTATTAGAAATAGAAACATAACACTTAGGCCTTATAATATACTAGCGACTCACCCTCCCTTCGCTAGGGTTCGTACGGCTAGGTACGTTTTAATTTTTTTGAGTCGAACCCTAATACTTTTTCTATACATATAATGTATTGTATATAAATTGTAACTAAGTCGACTCTGTACATTAAATATTTTTTGGAAAATCTAATTGAAATAGACATTATTATCGATACAGAGTCCGATTCTATAGTTTTAAGAATTTTTGTCTGTCTCTCTGTCTGTCTGTCTGTTACCGCATCACGAGAAAATCACTGGACAGATTTTGATGAAATATGGTATGATGATAGCTCCGGGTCAACAAATAGGATACTTTTTACCGCGGGAAAATATCTCATTTCTGAGAAAAAATACAAAAACTGCATTGTAAGTGTATACTAATATGTAAAACCTAAGAATTTGGTTTTTGGCCATCTGAACGCGGGCGGAGCCGCGGGCAAAACTAGACTAAAATAAAAGTAGCTTGGGTTACTCCCTATAACATCAGCTATCTTCCAGTGAGAGTCCCATCAAAATCATTCCAGGCGTTTCAGAGATTATCCGGAAGGAACAGACAGACAGACAGACAAAAATTTAAATAACAAAAAAATAAAATCGGACTTTGATGTACAAATAAAAAACCGACAGAGTGCTTTGCCTTGTACCATATATATGAAATAAAATGTTATTTTAAAGATTAGTTTTTTTTTTGCAATAAGTATATCCGTTTTGCATTTAAGATTTTTAAATATTCCAAAAAAAAATACAGCTTTTTAAAATTATATCCATTTTTCTATCGATTCAAGTGTCGCTCCTATATTTGTAATGAATGACATTCTATTTATGTAGCCTAGTACTATAAACTCTGTATACGAATACTGAGAACACTCATGGCGATAACAAAGTTATTTCTAACGTCACCATATTAGAAACGGGTTAACTTCGGTGTAAAGTGACGCAAGGATCTCACAAAACGGTACCACCCCAAAATCTGCGATGTCACGATTAAAAAAGTTGAATAGGCTTCTTACACAATTGTGCATCATAATTACTTTTATTGACTATCTTTTAAGAAATATTTGGTCAGTATTTTCATGATAAGATGTACATCTATACTAATATTATAATTGTGAAAGTCTGTTTGTTTGTTTGTCCTTCTTTCACGTCGAAAAAGAGTGACAGATTGGCGTAAATTTTTTATGAAGATAGTTTTAGGGCTGGAGAGTGACATAGGCTCCTTTTTACCGCGGAAGATTACCTCATTCCCACTAGAAAACACGTGATTACAACCCAAAAAATTATTTATGATCAAAATTACTTGAAACTAATTAATTGAAACTTGATATTAATGCTCTTCAATACAATTAAATAAATACGTGTTTTAGCATTTTTCGAAATTCATCCCATAAGGGGGTAAAATAAGGGATGAAACTCTGTATGAAATCTTTTAGAGTTTTAGAGTTTTTCTTATAGTTTTAGCGCGAGCAAAGCCAAGGGTTCTGCTAGTAATATATAAATGCTTATTTATTATGGATTTATAAAAAATATATGCGCCGATAACAAAACTTAGTTTTAAATATTTGGTGAATTTGCAACTCGCCCTACTTTTTTTTATAAAATAATTTTAAAAATTAATTTTAAATTTTTTTATAAAATAATTACTCTTTAATATATAATAAATGCATTAAGAATAGAAAACATTATAAAACAAAGGATTCCTTAAATATTACATGAAATATTGATTCAAGATTACAAGATTGTTCATTGGGAGTTACCGTTATTTATCATATTGCAACGTAAGGATGATAATATTTTTTCACTTACTCATGTGTAATAGGGTGAACAATTGAACTTACTCAGTTACCATAGATTGAAATTGATTGCATCATTACATAAAATCTTTTAAATTTGAAACAAATTAAGTATTTATATATATTTTTCGTAACATTTTCCCACGCAGTAATTATACCTATATAAGAAATATAGAGAACAACACAATTAACGTAATGAGTTTGACAACAAAAAATTTACAAAAGAAATTATGAAAAAGGTACCTTAGATACTTAAAATATTATTATTTTTGATTT